CTGCCTCTTTAGCAAAGCCCTGCTGTTTCTAAGCTAGATGGGTAAGTCTGCCTAATTCTGGGGTAAAATATTAGTAAGGCCTTTGAGTCATCACAGATCTAAATCCATGCTCCCCACTTAGTTTGATCAGTAGTAAAAGTAGTATTATTATTTCTCTGTTTGGTTCCTATGTCTATTTCCCAATTTGATATCAACTTATAAGAGGAAGAAAAGGATTGTTGTCTTGATCCCCCAAAACCCCAACCCAAAGCTGCCATTGTCATGTCCTCAAAAAGCAACAGGTTGCATAAATAGCAGATTTTAAAAAAAGGAATTGCTTCTGGGATTTTGGTTATCATCTGCCTAAGGGCTCCAAAGGAGGTAAGCCTCCTTCGAGAAATGGCACATAGACCTTTGGGTCTGATTGTCAGATTCCCAGAACCAGAGGATCATACTCCCTAACAAAGTAGGGGGAAAAAGGTCCCATATCAGATAGTGATGGAGTGAAAGGATGGGCTAGGGAGCTGGGGGAGGATGACCACAAGAGACAGATTAACAAAAATTGTGTCTTTGGAAAGGACAGAATTTACCACATAGAAGAAACGGCAGTAAGTTAGGTTGTTCCCCATTTAGTCACATTTAATGTCATATTGGATTAGGTTTTATGGCACGTAGAGCCAAGTAAGTCAGGCTAGTAATTTTTTTTTAATAAGGAAGGATAACAAAGATTAGTAATAACTGAAAGATCTGACCCTTAAGATTGTAAAGAAAATCACTCAGAAAGAAAGTTGTTCACTCGTTTCTGAAACAGCAGTATGGGTAGAAGAGAGTAAAGCAGCAGGAGCTGAAGGACTATAAGAGGAGGAAGCTAAACAACACTTGAAGTTGTTGAGACAGCGGCAGCTACAATCAGGAAATTGTCATGGCTGCTAGGAACAACTCAAGCCACTTGGATTCCACAGAAAGGGAATAGGGCTGCAGGTCTGAGGGGACTCGGGGGGCGGGGGGAAAGAAGGAACTACCCAAGGCTTTTATTATTCCAGACTGAGTGGTGGGAAAGCAATGGAGGTGAAGGTGGGTCGGGGAATAATGGGAGACAGAACCAGGTCTCTGTTAGAAAAATGTAACCTCTACCAGCAAACAACGTTCCTTTTGTTCACCTTTGTATAACCCAGTGCCTGCTATTCCTAGCCAATTGAACAATAAATATTTGTTGAATAACTAACTGGATGAATGTAGAGAATGGTGATGGATATGTCTTCACTTGGTATAGACCACTTTTCTTGCAGACCTCTTAAGCGACAGTGTTCAGTCTGGAGGTGGATACGGGCCACAGGTTGCTGGGACTGTTATTTATTCATCTTCGTCACCTAGCTCAGTGTCTGGCATATAATTAGGCACTCAAGAATTGTTTAAAAATAAATGGAGGGGCTTCCCTGGTGGCGCAGTGGTTGAGAGTCCGCCTGCCGATGCAGGAGACACGGGTTCGTGCCCTGGACCGGGAAGATCCCACATGCCTTGAAGTGGCTGGGCCCGTGAGCCATGGCCACGGAACCTGCGCGTCCGGAGCCTGTGCTCCGCAACGGAGAGGCCACAACAGTGAGAGGCCCGCATACCACAAAAGAAAAAAAATCTTAAAAAAAAAAAAAAAAAAAAAAAAAAAAAAAAAAAATGGACACAAGCCTCTAACTATTGCTTCCTTGGATCCCACTTCTAAAATCTCTGCAACCTTGTGACTCTGCTTTAATGGAAAGTATCATTCTGTTTCAGCAGCTTAAGTTGATTTAGATATGTGTTTTACTCAGTTTCTTTGATAAGTGTTAAGTTTTACCTTTTTTATCCTAGTACAATTTAGTACAGTATCAACTGTGAATTATGCTGTACACATATGCTGTACAACTAATGAAGTATTGTCTCAATCCATGCGCATGCCATTCATTCAGTCATTTTTTCAATAAACATTAATTGAGCATTTGCTAGGTTCCAGGAACAGGATACTAGACTCTGGGGAATAACAAATGACTACTGTTTCTGCTCTGAAAGGATTTAGAGGCTATCAGGGTAAGAAAGAAACATGTTAAAATTTTCTTTTAAATTCAATAAAATATTTTAGATGCTATCAAAACTACTCCAACTATCCTCACAACCCCACCTTCTCAAACTCCAAGGGATGGGCCTGGTCTCTGCCTGGCTTTCCTGACAAAGTAGGGAAACTGGACAAACACGATGAAAGACAGTTTCATGAGGTAGCTTTTAGAAGGCAGGGAGAAGTTTTGCTAAGCCTCGATATTTGAAGTGGGTCTCTAAGGTAGTAATTACTTTAAATAGGGGCTTTCACATTACTTACAATATGCACTTTGTTCGTTTTTCCTCCTTCCTCCCCCAAATCTTTACTTTCACTTTAATGTCTGGACCAAGTCTGTGAACGAACTGAAGACTGAACAAGATACATTTCTGCTTTCACGGAGCTCTCACTGTAAGAAGGTTCAGTCAGGTATGATAATTTAAAATAATCACCAGCACTGACAGGATCACTACGTGCACCTGGGTCGCTGCTTCCAAACCACTTCAGGACCTACGTGGAGAAGCGCGTTCTACGCGAGGCGGAAGGGCGGACGCCACGGTGGAAGGCGGAGCGGTTCTGGTGTTCCTGGAGGTAGCCAATGGCCACCTGGAAGGCGGAAGTTTTTGAAACTGACTGGCATGGAAACCGACCAATCAGAAGCTAAGTTGAATGAATTGCTGAGGCGGAACCCGAAGAGCTTTGGCGCTGTTTGGTAGGAGGTGCGGTCTGAAGAGAGGCAGCTTAGAGAAGGTGCTTTTTACTAATCTGAAAGAAAGCGTTTCAATTTTTAAATAACCGGTCAGCCGTACTAGCGCATATGTCTGGAGAGCAGCCCAGATATAGTGGCTATTTTTTTGTCTGCCAAGAGCGTCACCTCCTAAGAAATGCTTTTTTTTCATTTTTGCAATTATGTAATTCAAACAGAAGCTGCTGTTTACTTGTAGACCTCTTCTCTGAAGCGACAGTGTTTGGTCTGGGGATCGTTACGGGCCACAGGTTGCTGGGACTTATTTATTCATCTTCGTCACCTAGCTCAGTGTCTGGCATTTAATTAGGCACTCAAGATTTGTTTAAAAATAAATGGACACAAGCCTCTAACTATTGCTTCTTTTGATCTCACTTGTAAAATCTCTAATCTTCTGACTCTGCTTTAATGCAAAGTCTCATTCTGTTTTATCTGCTTAATTTGATTTAGATATATGTGCTTTACTCGATTTCTTTGATAAGTTGTAAGAATTTGCTGTTAGCTCTGATATTCAAATTTCTGTTTACCTTTTTTCCCCCCCAGTACAACGTTTACAAGCTCCAAGATTCTTGAATTTGACCCATTTCACAGTGCTGTTGTCAGGTTTCAGGCAAACAATGGGCCTTGGGAAGAGCCTAGATTCAGGAACTGGAAAGAGGCTGGGATTCTTGCTCCAAATTTGCTTCTCCGTGCATTCTCTCTCTGCTTCTGTCATCCACATAGCCGTACCCTTAGTTAAAATACTTGTATTATTAATTTCTCATTACTGGAATTGTTGCAGCAGAGGCTGAGTGACCATAATTTGAGACAGTGGTAGAAGACATGTCCTTGTTGACTGGTTGGAAGGGAAGTTAGATCAGGTTACATCTGTGAGCTATTCTAAATGTAAGATATGATTTTACCAGCTTAGGCTCCCATATACACAAGGATTGCTTTCTGTTTCACTTTCTCACTGTCTCTGTAAATAGCACCATCAGTTTTTTTGTCTTGTCTGTATCCCAGTCCTTCATCTTTTGTATGGAGTCAATCATTAGGTCTTCCTCCCAAAATCCTCTCCAGAAATAATACTAGTTTTCTCCTAGTACCTGTAGAGTTGTAGAAAAGGTAACAAAAGCATGAGCTCTTTAACCTATAGTTAAATGTTAAGACAGAGTCATATCAGGATTAAGAGCATAGGTTTTGGAGTTCAGCCTCAGCTCAAATCCTGTTCCCATTTACTAGCTGTGTCACCTTAGAAAAATTACTCTCTGAGGCTTTTTCTCCAACTGAAAGTGGGGACCTAATATTAAATAACATTGCTGAGTTGTTTGGTTAAATAACTAGTATCCATAAAGCACTTAGCAGTGTTTCTATTAATGCAAACACCAATTAGTGCTTAATAAGGTGTAGTTACTAGTATAAATAATAAAATACAACATTTATATAACTTCTTTTTTAGTTTACAAAATGTGTGCACCTACACTTTCTTGCTAAATAATCACAAATATCCTGAGAGGCAGATAATATTCTCATTTTAGAGATAGGGACACCAAAGAAAAAAGAGATGATAACACTTCCTCAAGTGGAATTGTCTAGAGGTTGCTCTGATAGGGAGTGAATGCAGTTACTTGAAGTTTTGCAAGGCTGTCCTGCTACCTATCACCATAGATCCCAGCTTTTGGAAGGGTGACTGAGCTAGGTGATTTCTGAGGTCCTGTAACTTGGTCCTTTATTCACACATGCAATTAATATTTTTTTTACCAGAAACTGTTCAAGGACCTGGGGATACAGCATAAACAAGCAAAAAACCCCCAAACAACATGCACACTCACACACACAGACAAAAATCTCTGTCTAGAAATATACAAATACAGAAAATATTTTGTACAGGATATACAATATAAAAAATAAAATATGAAAATATCAGTATATAGCTTGTCAGTTTTTTCATATACCCTTCATCTAAGTACCCATTAATTCCCACCCTCATTCCCAGCCCTCTCCCCAAGCTTAAAGCATCAGAAACTAGAAAATTCTATTTCAGTTTGTGTGCCATGCCCTCTCACGCGTCAAGGCTTATTCGAAGCTGGAAATCCAGAAAAGTGAGCGGAGCCTTGCAAGTTTCGGAAGGTGGAAGGAGAGACGGCGGAACTTGTGTGCGGTAGCTGTGGTTCTCGGTGGGAAGCCAATTCTGAGGACCGGTAGTGGAGAGCTCTGGAGCTTGTTTCCGGCCACCTCAGCGGGAATCGGAGACGCGAGCAGCTGGGTCTTTGGGAACTGAGGTAGAGGTATAACTTGACGGCGGAGCAAGTCAAGACGCACGTACGGCCGTCCGGGCCAGTGTTGAGTTTCCGTAGCCTGTGAAGATGGTGTTGCTCACGATGATCGCCCGAGTGGCGGACGGGCTCCCGTTGGCCGCCTCGATGCAGGAGGACGAACAGGTGAGCTGCTAGATCCCCGGGACCCCAAGTTCCTGTCAGAGCGCTGTGCTCTCAGCACGGGATTCCTCCTTAGGACGCGGGAGACCCTTATGGCCTCCCAGGCGTTTCTGACCCCTCTGAAGTGCTTTTCCTCTTTGGGCAGTGGAGAATAAGTCTTGTTAGAATAAATCTCTGTTAGAATAAATCTTGCCTGAAGGCGGAGGTAGATTTTTGTGTTACCTGTTTCTTTTTAGAAAAACTCTCTGGAGAAGGGATAGGTTTGGCTGACTGTGATTATCCAGTGTTCTGTAATTCTTTAGGGACTTTGTTAAAATTCAAGATTTCTTTTTTTTTTTTAATTTATTTTTTTTTGCTGTTAATAAGGCTGACTGACAGGTCCTGGGAAAAATCAGCTGCTAAGTCCTCTTTTCGTAGCACCTGATCCTTGACCTAGTTTACTGACATCTAGTGAAAGCAGATGAGGTATTATTGCCACATGTATGCACCTGTTTGAAGTTCAGTACAGTACCTTCTTTCAAAGTTATGCCCAATTCCCACCTCCAATAAGCCTTACTAAATTTCTGTTGTTGAAATTATAACCCTTGTGTTATATTCCTGTAATGCTTTGTACCTTTATTTTACAATTTTGCCTTTGTCTTTCAAAGTTTCCTAGCAGGCAAATGAGAAATCTTAGTCATCTATGTGTTTCCCATAGCTTTTACAATAGCAGCCTTGTGCTAGTAGGTGCTCAAAAATGTATTGCGTTGATTACAAAAACAAAACAAAACCTCTAGATAGCTTGAGAGGAAGAGGCTTTGTGCCTTAAAATCACAAGGCAAATTTCTGGTGTGAGACAAGTTCCTGGAGCAAGGTCAGGAAGTTCCTGAAGAAAGGAGGCTGAGAATGAAATTTATATAATTTATTTAAAGTGTTCAACTTTATCTTACTTTCTCATACAACCCAAGTAATGTAATTAAAAAAAAAACAAACTCAAGGCCTAAAAAAAGATGAATATTTTGCACATTTTTTTGAACTTTTCATTCATATATTCATTAAAAAAAAACCTCATTAAACACATCAGATGTGCCAAGCGTGGTGTTAATGCAGGGGTTTGGGGAACATAGTCCCTACTTTCATGGAGCTTACAGTTTAGTGGAGAAACCAGATAACTAACAATTATAATGTAGTATAACTTCTATGGAATAGGAAGAAGTTTTTGTGGTTGAACATGGAAAAGGTATCTAAATTGATTTTTGGACCTCAGGAAAGTGTTCCCAGAAGAAATGACATCTAAGCCAACAGTAGTGTCTCTTAATTAAGAAAGCTTCTATTTGGTTATATGCCTTTTTAGGTTTGATTTGGAAATATGTTTACTTTCATTTCTAGGAGAGTAATGATACAAATTGTGAAGTTGCTAAGTTGCTTAGCAGGTCATGCTAAGTGAAATATTTTCTATTTATTCCACAAGACAAAGTCTAAGTTGAGATAAAATTTGAAAAATATAGCATACCCTGAATTTTCAATTGTGAAATATTTTTCTCTTGTCCAATGTTAAACATTTTCCAGGACTGTGCAGAAGGAGTGAAATTGTTAAAATGAATGCAGGAACATGATTTGAAACGGGGGATGGTGTGGGGGAAATTTTCCTTGAAGGATATGTAGTTTGATTAAGTAGTTTTCCCAAAGGCACAGAAATCTGGTCAGTTTTCCAACTATTGTTTTGAATTCCAGTGTGGGCAAAGAATATAAATTGGATTTGAAAGTCCATATATCAGTAGGCTCTTATTCTCTGCCTTCATACTTTATTGAAAAAATTAGTTGATTTATTACTGTGTGTTTCTTAATTCCAAATTAGGTATCAGTTTACCAAGATGGGTTGCTTTGTTTAATTGACAAGGAAAGATATTTTACACAAAAATATTTTTGTGATTGTAATTCCATAGTGATTTCTTTTAGGAATTTTGACTTTGAATGATAACGTCTTTCCAAAACGTTTAATATCTGCAAAAATATGAATCTCTGACTTATTTTTACTATTATAATAGTATACAGAACATTTATAGAGTGCCTACTACATACCAACCATTGTGTTAAGCCTTTTAAATGCATGATTTCATTCAATCTTCATACCAACTATTAGGATAGGTACTATTATTATCCCCATTTATAGATAAGGAATCTCTGAGGCTAAGAGAGCATAGGTCTCTTGCTTAAAGTCGCACAGCTAATAAGTAGCACAACAGAATTTTTCACCAGGGTTCCTCCCTGCCTCCTTTTTTTCCCTTCCTTCCTTCCCTGTTAACCTACAACCACTATGTTAGTTCCAGGGACATAACATAGTGATTTGATAGTTCTTTCATCAGGGTTTTTTAACTTCGGCACTGTTGACATTTTGGAATGGATAATTCTTTGTTGTGGGAAAACTGTCCTGTGCATTGTAGGATGTCTAGCAGCATCCTTGGCCTCTGCACCTTATATGCCAATAGCACTACCACCACCCTCCGTCTAGTTGTGACAACCAAAAATATTTCCTGACATTGCTGCATGTGGTCACCTGCGGGGAGGAGGGGCAAAATCACCCCTGGTTGAGAACCAGTGTTTTGGTTTTAAAAAAATTTCTTTTTAATTAAGATGCAGTTGATTCACAATATTATATAAGTTTGAGATGTACAACATAGTGATTCACAATTATTAAAGGTTATACTCCTTTATAGTTATACACGTTTATAATTACTATAAAATATTGGCTATATTCCCTGTGCTGTTTAATATATCCTTGTAGCTTATTTATTTTATACATAGTAGTTTGTACCTCTTAATCCCCTACCCCTAGCATGCCCCTCTTCCCTTCCCTCTCCCCACTGGTAACCACTAGTTTGTTCTTTTTAATCAATATCTGTTTGATTCTACACTACAGGCTTAGTACCTAACTGCTTCACTTGTTCTAAGACATTTTAGTAATGTATTTACTTCTTAGGAGTCTGGAAATAACTTTTTAAGAAATGGATATCTTGATCAAATAGTTTTATAGTTAAGTACCCTAATTGTCCGGGCCAAATAATTCAATGTATTCTTTCAATTATTTACATTAATAACAGATACCATATCTTAGGTGGTTACTAGATGCTAGTCCTTGTACAAACTGTCTTCTCACTGGAGATGAACAATTATTCAAATAATACAATAGAGCGTTAAAAAAAAAAAAGATACAGAGTATCTTATGCACTGTTTCCTCTGTGCTATAACTAGAAATGTAGGCCTAAGACAGGTAGACAGATGAACTTAGTCTGATATTCTATCTATTTCTTCCTTTCTGATGTGTTTCTCCTTTTTAGATGTTTGCAATTTCTTTATCTACCTTTCTGTTCTACCTCAAAATGAACGTGTTCTCTTCAGGTGTTAGATATAACTGAGTACAGGGCAGGGAACTCCCAAGAAGCAGATAGTCTTTTGTACCGTTAAACTGGTGCACTCGCCCAATCATTGAGGGTTGATTAATCACCTTACTGTTATTGCTGTTAGAAGAAAATGGTTGGTTCTTGGTGCCCCTGGCCTTTGATCAATAGAGTTCAACAGGAATTTACAAATGATAAGAGCTTAGCTAAACATTCTTATAAAGGCAAAAGATAGCATTTGATACAACTACTTGTTCAGCAGTCATAGGTGACAGCAATAAAAAGGATTGTGGTTGTGTGGCAATTTACTATCCTGTACCTCCTGCATTTTGTATACAGAACCACATCCTAAATATACTGATGATCTCAAATTAGTTTCAGAATTTGTGTAGACATTCACATCTACTTCATTATTGGATTGCTAACAGCTGTCTTCATTATACTGTATATAAGTTTCATCAAGTCTGTTCTAGATGAAGTAGAAAACAGAATTAGGACATCTAATCTAACTATTTTTAGATAGACTGGCTGACTGTGAGCCCTTTGTGACTGTAATCTTAAAAGTCAACCTAGGGTTTATCTGTAAAGCCATGATTATGTTGTTATGTGAGATCTAGATCAGAGCTGCCATATGGTTTCTTGAGCATTTCCTATGAATTAGATTTAATATTAAATAGTAAGATATCACCTAGAAGGTGGATCTACCATTACTGAAGCAATTTTAATTATACAGGTGATATAGCGTGCTTAGGAGCAGGGGCTTCAGAACTAGACTGCCTGGGTTCAAATCCTAGCCCCTCCCCTTATTGGCCCCAAGTCCTAATATTGTGGGTGCAAATACACAGTAAATAGGAATGGATGAATGAATAATTTTCCCATTATAAAATTAATTTCTGATTATTGTAGAAAATTCAGTAAATATGTACAAACAAAAGGACCAAAAAGTTAATGGTGATTTTTTTTTTTACCATTAAAAGTAGTGGTAAAATTAAGTAATCCCTACTTAAATTATATCCACTTGATGTCTAACCTTAATCTTTGCGTGTGTGTTTAAAATCAAATAATCGGTAATACTGTAATACTGTTCCACCTAATTTTTTTCACTTAGTGTATAATGAATATCTTTTCATATCATTAAATATTACACAGCATCATTTTAATAGCTCTGTAGTATTCCATTATATAAATATATACCATATGTTATTTTTTTAACATTTTAATTGGAGTATAATTGCTTTACAATGTTGTGTTAGAAGATGTGGAATTGTTGGATAAAATATTATGCAAAATTTTTAAATTTCTAATACATATTGTCAAAATAACTACCAGAAAGATTGTGCCAGCATCGTGCTGCCAGGAATGGTAATGCCAACTGAACCAGCATTGTAAAATGTTGGTTGGCGTGCTGTAATTCCTATGTAGATATGTCCCCAGTGTTATACATCAGCGGTCACTGCTTTGTTCATTGTAAATTCCTGAAATTGTAGCATGCTTTTGGCCGTAGTTTCTTGTAGTTCGTACAGTTGTTAGTCTCTTTCTCTCAGATTGCAGTAATATTTACAGTGCCTTTTATAAAGTCAAAGGATTTGTGCTAATCTTCATTTCACTGACAGTTTTTTGCCATTTCTTTTTTTTTAATTGAAGTGTAGTTGGTTTACTATATTATATTAGTTTCACACTTAGAATATAGTGATTCAATATTTTTATAGATTATACTTCATTTTAAAGTTGTTATAAAATATTGGCTATATTCCCTGTGCCGCACAATATATCCATGTAGCTTTTTTATTTTATACATAGTAGTTTGTACCTCTTAATCTCCCCCTACTGCTGTCTTGCCCCTCTTCCCTCCCCTCTCCTTACTGGTAGCAGCTAGTTTGTTCTCTATATCTGCGAGTCTGTTTCTAATTTGTTATATTTATTCATTTGTTTTATTTTTTAGATTCCACCTATAAGTGATAACATACAGTATTTGTCTTTCTCTGACTTATTTCACTAAGCATAATACCCTTTAGGTTCATCCATGTTGTTGCAAATGGTAGAATTTCATTCTTTTTATTTGCCATGTATTTATTTAACTAGTTCCTTTAAGGTGCTCACCTGCCTTTAGCTGTCAAAAAACTTATAATTAACATTTATGGTTGTGGTTATTTTATGAATACCTCTGAGACACTGATTTAATTGATTTGGGGGTGGAGGTTGGGCAGGAGTAATTTTTTTTAAGAATTCTAGGTGGGCTTCCCTGGTGGCGCAGTGGTCGAGAGTCCGCCTGCCGATGCAGGAGACACGGGTTCGCGCCCCGGTCCGGGAAGATCCCACATGCCGCGGAGCGGTTGGGCCCGTGAGCCATGGCTGCTGAGCCTGCACGTCCGGAGCCTGTGCTCCGCAACGGGAGAGCCCACAACAGTGAGAGGCCTGCGTACCGCAAAAAAAAAAAGAAAGAAAGAAAGAATTCTAGGTGATTCTTGTGTGAAGCCAAGGTTGAAAATCATTGATCTGTGTTGGTATTATTTCTTGGCACTTCAGAAGCATCTCCAACTTTGTTTGCATCCCTTTAATCTACTATTGTGGGGTCATATATGAGAATATATCTGAGAATATATATCAGATATATTCTCAGGGGTCGGAATGCCACATAACAACATTGGTGAAGCCAACAGATTGACAAGTACCACTCAAATTTAGGAACATAGGATATTGTGCACTAGTTCAAAGCATGTGATGGTATTCACTCTCCCCAGCTGGCTGGCCAGTCATGAGAAAAACAATATATAGATTAGCAATACTCTTTAATACGATAATGTTAATATACATTATAATGTTAATTATTACAAAGTATTGTTAATATATAACAATATACATATACATGTTAATGTAGGAGTATTTCTCAAGTGAACAGCCTTATAACAAATCGTTGCCATAAAAACAGTGTTAAACTACAAATCGATACTTCTAGTGGTCTCTGCCTAACTCCCCTGTTTCACCTCATGCTTATTTACTTCCTTATTTATATTGAAATTTCCAGTTCACCATTTAATTTTTTTATTTTATCTTATTTTGAGTTATAATTGACATATAACATTATATTAGTTTCAGATGTACAACATAGTGATTCAATATTTGTAGACACTGTGAAATGATCACCACAATAAGTCTAGTTACCCTCCATCATGAAAAAATAGTTATGAAAATTTTTATTCTTTTTTCTTCTTGTGATGAGGACATTTAAGTTTTACTGTCTTAACAACTTTCAAATAATGCAATACAGTATTAACTATAGTCACCATGCTGTACATTATATCCTCATGACTTATTTTATAACTGGAAGTTTGTGCTTTTTGATTCCCTTTACCTATTTCGCCCACTCCCCCACCTACCTCCCCTCTGGCAGTCACCAGTCCATTCTCTATCTATGAGCTTGTTTTTTGAGCAGGATTCCAGTCTGTTTTAATGGCTGAATAGTATTTCATTGTGTATATATACCACATCTTCTTTATCCATTTGTCTGTTGATGAACACTTAGATTATTTCCATATCTTGGCTATTGTAAATAATGCTGCAGTGAGCATAGGATGCATATATCTTTTTAAATTAGTGTTTCGTTTTCTTCAGATAAATACCCAGAAGTGGAATTGCTGGATCATGTTGTAGTTCTATTTTTAACTTTTTGAGGAACCTCCATACTGTTTTCCATTGTGGCTGCACCCATTTACATTCCCACCAACAGTTCACAAGGGTTCCCTTTTCTCCACATCCTCACCAACACTTGTTATTTCTTGTCTTTTTGATAATAGCCATTCTAACAGGAGTGAGGTGATATCTCATTGTGGTTTTGATTTGCACCTCCAGTTCACTATTTTAAATATAGCTTAGAATCCTATACTTGTACATTTGTTTATCTGCCAGTTACACGATTTTATCATTGCTTTCTTGACTGATTTTACTCTCAGCTCAGTGGTTCACCATCTGGAATTTTAAGTTTCACTTTGTACTTTCTCATAGTTATACCGTAGGTCCAATCCCTAGGAGAACCCTGTGTAAACACTTTTCTATTTAAACATTTAGTTATTAAACATCTACCAAGGAGAGACAGTGTTAGATCTTTCAATTCAAACTAAATAATACAAAATAAAATAATTCCTTCCCATCACATGGCAAAAGTTATTTGTTTGTTTCCCGCAGTCTGTGGATGAATAAATAATGTATATTTGCTTCCCATTCTTCATGCACTTCTTTTCCATTTTGAATCTAGTAGGTTATTGAGGTATGACTTTCTCCTTTTGAAATGACATTGCTGTTTCCCCCAGTAGACTTCTTCCTCTCTTTAAAAAATATTGTAAAATCATTTAGAAATTGTTTAGGAAAATATTGCCTGTAACTCTATCATCCAAATGTTATTATTTTCATTTTTGTATGAACATACCCCTTGCTACCCAGCCTTTTGCTATCCAAACTCAGGAACCAAATAGATTTATTTAGTAAAGGATATTGGACTTTCCAATCTTTGTCCTTGCTCTTATTCATTTTTACCTAATTGCAGTTATAGTGTTCATAATAAGTTGCAGTCATGGGTGCACACAGTTTTGCTTAAATGCTCAATACTGTAACACTTTATGGAAGATTTTGCTTGATATTTCAGCACAAAAATGAGATGATTCATTCAGTTTGTTGTTCCCAGGCCTTTCCCGAGTATGGAACATGTTGTACAGTTCTGTGCCAGTAACTGTGCAAGTGAAATGGGTTAGGAGGAGGGCACTGACCTAATAGTGGAAAGAACACTGGATTGAAAGAGTGCCTTAAGGAGTACAATTTTGCTTTTTAGCAAATAACTATTGTGACTTTGTTGAAAAACTCGGGATTTGGTCCTCCTTTTTTCTCTAAAATAGGCCACTTTTATTTTGTTAAAATAAATCTTACTGACCTGTAAATGAAGGACTGTATTCACATAATGTCCTCAAAATATGATGCTTCTCACAAATTGGTACTGCTTTTTTGGTGGAAAATTCTTAAATGAAGGTGTCTTCTTTCAGTCTGGCCGGGACCTTCAACAGTACCAGAGTCAGGCTAAGCAACTCTTTCGAAAGTTGAATGAACAGTCCCCTACCAGATGCACCTTGGAAGCTGGTGCCATGACTTTTCAGTGAGTATAGTCCTGATTTCTTTGTGATTATTTAAATATGAAATACAGTAAATACAAGTAACACCTGATAAGAATGGGAACTTTTTTAAAAGTAAAGGTAACTTTAAAAATATAGTTGCTCCATGGAAGCAACTTTCCTGGCTCTAATTCTGCAAAACTGAAATCTTGGTTTATTTATTCAATTTCCATACAATAATTCAACCTGTTATCCTGTGTCTAGTAAATGCTATACATATCATGCAGTAATAGGTAACTTTTGCTTTGGGAGCTTCTTGGAGCCAGACACATGTAGGTTAGTACCCTTGCTCAAACATTTACTGACAATGTAACCTTGAGCAACTCACATGTACTTCTCTGGGCCTCAGTTTCCTCTATAAAATAGGGAATCATAGTTTTGTGAGGATTATGAGAGAATCCATGTATATCACTTAACATCTTGTCTGGCACATAGAGAATAGTCAATAAGTGTTAGTTTTTATTTAGAAAAAAGAAAATTATAAAAGATAATTTAAGGGCATCTAATCAGTGGTTATAGACAGTGTATACAGCTGAGAGAGGGATCAAAGCAACTTTATTGGATTTCAAATTATCTACAAATAATTGGTATTAAATGTTTAATACATGTCAAGTTTGAAGTTGATAAAACAGGAAGGATTAAACAAGAAAAGAGAGGGCAAGAAGATCAGGTGAAAATAAAAAAGAATAAGCTAAATAATCCTTACTATGTTAGGAACGCAGATACTAAGATAATATAGACCTGGGAAGAACCTGCTCTGTTTAACTCAAACAAACAAACCCTTTACTCATCAAGAACAAGCAAACAAGTATAAAGAATCAAAACCAAAACAAAACCCTGGCCTATTGGTTAAGAAAGTAGTGAATATTACATTTGGTAAGGTATTTCAACATCAAAAAATATTAGAGGTACTTCATTATATAGTATTTTTATCTCTACCATGGGTTAGGAACAAAAAAGATGTAGGAAAGATCTCATGGAATTGAAAAGAGATTTTCTTCTGCTTGGTTCTTTATAATCTCATCTCTTCCTTTATTTCCATCCAAGAACTGTTTATTAAAGATTTATTCTTTGTCAGACAGTGTATTAAGTCTTGTCTGTAATGTTTTACCTTATCCTCTTCTTAGCAGAGAGAGACACATACACAAACAACTATACTGTAATACCTTAGGACAAGAAGTGCTGTAGAGTAGAGAGAAGGAAGCAATAAATTCCCATTTATAGAGAGTAAGTTTCAGGAAAGGGGAAAGAGGGAGGGAGAATACAGAGAAATTTCACAGAAAAAATTATAGTAAAATTGAGCATATGAAAGTGAACAAGGTTTCTCCAGGTACATAAAAGAATATTATAGTTAGAAAAAAACAATATAAGCAGAAGTCCACGAGCATGTGAAAGAACCTAGCTTATTGGAGAACAACATGTTGTTCGGTGTGTTAGCAGGATATATGATGGAAAGCAGCCTACACTTGTTTTGGAGGGCTCCGAATACTATACCAAGGTGTATGATTTTATTTTATAGGTAGTAGGGAACCTCTAGAGTTTTTAAGCAATATCATATTTACTTTTTAGGAATAAAGCTAGTGGTTTAGAAGATGGTCTAGACTGAAGGCAAGGAGACTGGTTAATTTAGGTGCCCAAGCAAGAAATAGGACAGCAGTATTATTGTTATTGTTATTATTGTTGTTATTATTATTATTTTAAGGGGCATGAGAGATCATATAATATAATAGACTATAAACTATGCTCTGTGGAGTCATAGGATGCCTTAGGAAGGACATAGAAAGGACAGGGGTGGGGGTATGTGTAATGCTTTGGGCCCTTAAACTCCTACTTAAGCTAAAGAACTTCTCATTTTATTTGCTGTACATATTAGTCTTCTGGATATAATTTTTGCTGAAATAAAGAGTACTATGGCTAAAAAGTTTGAATACCACTGAGTAGCCTAACCTCTTTCCAAAACTGTCTCATACATGTAGTCATATAGCCTCTTCCAGACTGCCAGGGAGCTCAGTCTCACAAGAGGAGTCAGTTCTGTTATTGAACAATTTGCAGTCAATACAGAGTTCTCCTATCCTGGAAATTCGGGAATATTATTAGTCCTGAGATTATTTTCTGTACCCAGTAAATATTGTGACATTAACTTCCAACTTTTAACTATCCACAAAAGTTTCCAATTCCACTATTTTTCTTACAGCTGGAAGAAATTTAAATGCGTATATACTTGTTTACCACACATAATCAAAGGATAGATGGAGTCACAACTCCGAGTTTTCAAGAAAAAGTCTTATGTATTAAGATATTTTAGTTGAAGAATTATGTAATGAATAAATATGTCTAAATACTCCTTTTGGAATATACTTCTAATAATGGGAAGATGTTTGCTGTCTGATTCCAGTGATTTTTGGTTTGAAATTGACTTTCTGATTAATTAGCCTCAAAGGGCTTGGGCTAGAATATTTTAAAAAGTTTGTATAGGGAATTCCCTGGTGGTCCAGTGGTTAAGACTCCACACTTTCACTGCCAAGGGCCCAGGTTCAATCCCTGGATGGGGAACTAAGATCACACAAGCTGTGTGGCATGGCCAAAAAAAAAAAAAAAAAAAAAAAGGTTTGTATGGCACTGAGAGTCTATTTCAGATTGTTGGAGGTGTTGTTAATCTACAAACAACTTTTTCTTGCTTTTTTTTGTCTCTGCAGCTACATTATTGAACAGGGGGTGTGTTATTTGGTTCTGTGTGAAGCTGCCTTCCCTAAAAAGTTGGCTTTTGCCTACCTAGAAGATTTACATTCAGAGTTTGATGAACAGCATGGGAAGAAGGTGCCAACTGTGTCTAGACCCTATTCCTTTATTGAGTTCGGTAAGTTTTTGCGCATCACCTCTCTATCAAGGGAGTAGTCGATATGCAGAAGCTATTGATATAATTTTGATACTTTTTAAATTTTTATGCTTACCTACTGAAGTTTTGGATTCTCCCTCCTAGTCCATGTCTTTTGTCCTTTTGAATGAATGAGGCTTCCTTCTCATAAGTAATTGTCTCTGGTCTTTTGATTTTTTCCTCATAGAACTTGTTGCCCTTTGCTCTTTTTTGTTATTTAGTTTGATTCTTCATTTGGGTAAAAAACTGTGTCTAAAGATCTAGATTGACATGTAATAACTGAGTTCTTTTTTCCCCCAACCCAACCTCCTCACCTCCCCAGCCACACACACACTCACATACTCACAGTGAGACTCATTTTATGGAAATCAGAATTTGGAAATCAGAAGGAATGGTGAACGAGATCCTCTAATTTAAGTACTAGAGGATATATGGTATTGGGGCATAACATTTACTACATGCAGAAGTAGTGAGCATGGGTGTCCATATTTGTATAAGAATTATAGAAAGACTCATTACTGGTCAGATCTGGTAAAGTATCTGATGGCAAGAGATCAAAGGAAATGGCCTTTAAGTAGAGGAAGTGAGAACAAGTATGATTAGACTACATCACTCACATTTTTAGTTAAAAAAAAAAATTGGTTTTACTATCTCTGAATTTCTGAAGTGTTTTGAGTTTGCTAGATAAATGGGTCCTGTTGCTTTTTAGAAATAAAGAAATCTAGCAGGGGCTTCCCTGGTGGCGCAGTGGTTGAGAATCTGCCTGCTAATGCAGGGAACACGGGTTCGAGCTCTGGTCTGGGAAGATCCCACATGCTGCAGAACAGGTGAGCCCGTGCGCCACAACTACTGAGCCTGCGCGTATGGAGCCTGTGCTCCACAACACGAGAGGCCGCGTAGTGAGACGGCCCGCGCACAGCGATGAAGAGTGGCCCCCGCTTGCCACAACTAGAGAAAGCCCTCGCACAGAAACGAAGACCCAACACTGCAAAAATAAATAAATTAATTAATAAACTCCTAAAAAAAAAAAAAAAAAAAAAAGAAATCTAGCAAAGCATTCCAGTGTTTCAAAACTATAAACTCCCCAAGTGCTAATTTTTATAATGTCTGGTTTTGCAAATTTTATTTTTGTAGACAATAGCGGTTCAGTAAACCCAATAAAAAAATAAGACTGCTGTATCAAGGTCACACAGGAAATAGTTGGTATACTCAAATTAGCTTAAAGGATTTATATACAGAGATATGAATGGGTTATAGATGAACTGTAAGGTACAGTAATCTGAGACCAGTAGCATGGTAATTGTTATCATCCCTAAGCCTGAATGGATAAGAGAAAGCAGTTTCTGGAACTAGGAAGGAGAAAATTTATGGAAAAGGCCCATTTGCGAGGAGCAGTAACTTTTGGTGGAGGTATACTGCCAGCCCAAGATGACTTCTCAGGGAGGAGCTAGAGGAATAAATACTTTGATATCACTATCCACTCCCCTTCTTCCATACTCTTGGGGCTCCCCCATTGGCTGAACCTAACCGGGCAAGGAGCCCATTGATGTAATCCATGCAGGTCAGCTTCCTGCAGGCAGAAAGCAGGCCCAGAAGGTTGGAGAGGAGATCTAGAGGCAAATGAAGGGTATCAAGCACACACATCTTAAGATTTTTTCTAAAAGTTGAAAATATAATCTTTAATAATCATACTTTTCATAGTTTTGCGTTATATAGACATTGGCAAAAATGAATGACCATGCAGTTTTGTAGTAGTATTTTGGGAAACGCCTGTCCCATTGGTACTCATTCAAAAGCTTGGTTAATCACGAACAGTTGCAGATCCAGGACGAAACTCAGAATTTACTCTTTCCTACTTCTTTGATGGACACGAAAGAAGTTGTTAACAGTCACTTTTCTTCATCATTCTAGATACCTACATTCAGAAAACCAAGAAGCTTTACATTGACAGTCGTGCTCGGAGAAACCTAGGCTCCATCAACACTGAATTGCAAGATGTGCAGAGGATCATGGTGGCCAATATTGAAGAAGTGCTACAACGGGGAGAAGCACTCTCAGGTCTCTAAAAGCAGTATGAGTCTTATGAATAAGTGGCTCTTATTCCATAAGCAAGGATAGCTTATTTGGGAGTACCTTTTATGCTGTCAGATTCTATCTAGTACTGTTAAGAATTCATCTTTCAAAAATGGATTACATTGCAAGCTTCCAATATATATGTTTCTTCCTAGTGTGGTTAGTTTCTATTGAGTTGGAACAATGTAGTCTCATTCCATATCAGAAGCAATTACTGTTTCCAAGATATTTACAAAATTAAATCAATATTTACAGAAACACTTAAGGGAAATGAAAAGAGGAATGAGAGGAAATTGTTAAAGATTTATTGCAATAGTTTGCTGAGTAGCCACTTTGAGAGACTTTACTGCTGCCAGATCAAATGTTATAAAATGCCATTTTCATCAAGGCATTCCTCTACTGAAAAACTTTTAAAACCTGTGACTACAAGATAAGGTCTAGTCTCCTCTCAACTTACTTTTCATTCATTCAATCATTATTAATTGAGTACTTGTAATGTGCAAGGCACTGTGTTCTCTATAATGGAAGATAAGGAGATTGCAAACGTCTCTCATTCTCCCTAGTTCACAAACATTCTGCCTCAGCCAGGTCAGTGTCCTCATCATCCTGAACCTTCTTTAGGATCTAGATAAGAACTGCCTCTTCAAAAAAGCCTTACCTGATCCTTATATCCCACAATGCATTAATCTCTTTTGTCCTTCCAATTCTTAAAGCACTTACATATGTAATGTTTTTTAACACATAATGTGTTATATATATGTGTGTGTACTAATTTACCTAAAAATATATATGTTTACTTAATGCTTAAATGTTACCTAAATGTTTAATGTGAGCGTATACTTTTTTTCTTTACATCTTTATTGGAGTATAATTGCTTTACAATGGTGTGTTAGTTTCTGCTTTATAACAAAGTGAATCAGTTATACATATATATATGTCCCCATATCTCTTCCCTCTTGTGTCTCCCTCCCTCCCACCCTCCCTATCCCACTCCTCTAGGCGGTCACAAAGCACCGAGCTGATCTCCCTGTGCTATGAGGCTGCGTCCCACTAGCTATCTATTTTACGTTTGGTAGTGTATATATGTCCATGCCTTTGTCACAGCTTACCCTTCCCCCTCCCCATATCCTCAGGTCTGTTCTCTAGTAAGTCTGTGTCTTTATTCCCATCTTACCCCTAGGTTCTTCATGACATTTTTTTTTCTTAGATTCCATATATATGTGTTAGCATGAGGTATTTGTCTTTCTCTTTCTGACTTACTTCACTCTGTATAAGAGACTCTAGGTCCATCCACCTCACTACAAATAACTCAATTTCGTTTCTTTTTATGGCTGAGTAATATTCCATTGTATATATGTGCCACATCTTCTTTATCCATTCATCCGATGATGGACACTTAGGTTGTTTCCACCTCCTGGCTATTGTCAATAGTGCTGCAATGAACATTTTGGTACATGACTCTTTTGGAATTATGGTTTTCTCAGGGTATATGCCCAGTAGTGGGATTGCTGGGTCATATGGCAGTTCTATTTGTAGTTATTAAGGAACCTCCACACTGTTCTCCATAGCGGCTGTACCAATTCACATTCCCACCAGCAGTGCAAGAGTGTTCCCTTTTCTCCATACCCTCTCCAGCATTTATTGTTTCTAGATTTTTTGATGATGGCCATTCTGACTGGTGTGAGATGATATCTCATTGTAGTTTTGATTTGCATTTCTCTAATGATTAATGATGTTGAGCATTCTCTCTAATGATTAATGATGTTGAGCATTCTCTCATGTGTTTGTTGGCAGTCTGTATATCTTCTTTGGAGAAATGTCTATTTAGGTCTTCTTCCCATTTTTGGATTGGATTGTTTGTTTTTTCGTTATTGAGCTGCATGAGCTGCTTGTAAATTTTGGAGATTAATCCTTTGTCAGTTGCTTCATTTGCAAATATTTTCTCCCATTCTGAGGGTTGTCTTTTGGTCTTGTTTATGGTTTCCTTTGCTGTGCAAAAGCTTTTAAGTTTCATTAGATCCCATTTGTTTATTTTTGTTTTTATTTCCATGTCTCTAGGAGGTGGGTCAGAAAGGCTCTTGCAGTGATTTATGTCATAGAGTGTTCTGCCTGTGTTTTCCTCTAAGAGTTTGATAGTTACTGGCCTTACATCTAGGTCTTTAATCCATTTTGAGCTTATTTTTGTGTATGGTGTTAGGGAGTGTTCTAATCTCATACTTTTGCATGTACCTGTCCAGTTTTCCCAGCACCACTTATTGAAGAGTCTGTCCCTTCTCCACTGTACATTCCTGCCTCCTTTATCAAAGATAAGGTGACCATATGTGCGTGGGTTTATCTCTGGGCTTTCTGTCCTGTTCCATTGATTTATATTGCTGTTTTTATGCCAGTACCATACTGTCTCGATTACTGTAGCTTTGTAGTATACTCTGAAGTCAGGGAGCCTGATTCCTCCAGCTCCGTTTTTCTTTCTCAAGATTGCTTTGGCTATTTGGGGTCTTTTGTGTTTCCATACAAATTGTGAAATTTTTTGTTCTAGTTCTGTGAAAAATGCCAGTGGTACTTTGTTAGGGATTGCATTGAATCTGTAGATTGCTTTGGGTAGTAGAGTCATTTTCACAATGTTGATTCTTCCAATCCAAGAACATGGTATATCTCTCCATCTATTTGTATCATCTTTAATTTCTTTCATCAGTGTCTTATAATTTTCTGCGTACAGGTCTTTTGTCTCCTTAGGTAGGTTTATTCCTAGATATTTTATTCTTTTTGTTGCAGTGGTAAATGGGAGTGTTTTCTTGATTTCACTTTCAGATTTTTCATCATTAGTATATAGGAATGCCAGAGATTTCTGTGCATTAATTTTGTATCCTGCTACTTTACCAAATTCATTGATTAGCTCTAGTAGTTTTCTGGTAGCATCTTTAGGATTCTCTATGTATAGTATCATGTCATCTGCAAACAGTGACAGCTTTACTTCTTCTTTTCCGATTTGGATTCCTTTTATTTCCTTTTCTTTTCTGATTGCTGTGGCTAAAACTTCCAAAACTATGTTGAATAAGAGTGGTGAGAGTGGGCAACCTTGTCTTGTTCCTGATCTTAGTGGAAATGCTTTCAGTTTTTCACCATTGAGGACAATGTTGGCTGTGGGTTTGTCATATAGAGCATGTACTTTTTAAAAGTAGTATTTATGTGTTTCATATCTATTTCATATACTTCTTTTATTTCTTTCACAGTAATCATCACAAGTAGTTTCCTTAATGTGTATTTTTTGAATTCAGCCTTGTTACATATTCATGAATAATGGGTTTTCCTTTATTATGAATTGCAGATTTTAACCTTTATGTTTGTAGTCAGCAGTTGTCCCAGCATATAGCTTCAAACTCTTTAAACATCAAATTTTGGATGAGTGAGTCTGTGTAAATTTTCATCATTACAGACTTACAGGTTCTACTTGGGATAAAGTAAACCAGCACAGGAATTTTTCTTAAATCCAAATTTTATATACTGGTCAATTTATCAAAAGTGTAACAGATTTTCTTCTAGTGCTTTGCTGATTGCTACAAAGCTGATATGCTGATTAAAAAAGAAGTACAGTTCTACCCTTAAATAATTTCATGTGATTGGGAAGATAAGAAAGATTGTCACAGAGTAATTTATAGATAGTATAAGGGAACAAACATCAGTTGAACACTTACATTGTGCTAGGCAATATGGTAGGGGGACTTTACATATATCTTAGTTATTCTTTAGAGTAATCCCATGTGAAGTGGCTGATATCAAACCGGTTTCACAGATAAAGAAGCAAAGACTCAGAAAAGTAGCTTACTATAAAAGTTACACTGCTAGTACCTGGCAGAATTTGTTGGCTTTTGGAGTCCTTGTCCATCTTCAGTGAGTGACAGTTTTAAATCATTATATATAGATCTATAGACAATAAGAGCTATAAAAATGTAGAAGGAAGTAGATAAATGAACAGGAAAGATTTCTTGAGTTTTGATAGATCAGGAAGGAGTGAAGAGTGGTATTTTAAGAGGAAGAAAAAGCATATGCTGAACAGAGCATATATGAAGACAGTGGCAAGAGTAGGCCACCTCAAAAAATGTTCTCTTCCTCTTTAAGCTTCTGTATAATAAGAGTCCATCTTTTACACCTTTTTCTCCTTCTAAGTTTTAGAGCTAATCAACTTTGCATTTATGACCCAAGAATAGTTCCTGTGGGTTCTTTTAACAAGATCAAATTATGCCTTTTTTACTGCCTAAATATACCTGTTTCTTTTAAGCCATAGGTTTTATTTTTTATCCAAAGATGTCACCCTATTAGACTGTAAATTCCACAAATATAGAGATCATGTGTGTTTTGATCATAATTGTATCCTCTAGCACTTCTCATGGTGCCCATAACATGAATATTTGCTAAATGACTTCTCCAAGCAATAACTTTGTCTTTATGATACTATGTGTTTCCAAATGTTCCAGTGTAAAGGAATTCTCTTAACTATTAATTATTTCATATGACCTAATATTTATTTCTTTGCCCAGTTATTCTCAGCAGATTTAGATTCATGTAGCAAATATTTATTGATTGATTTTTCACTGTATTTTTCACTGACTGTATGCCAGATCACATTCTAGGCACTGGGAATATAGTAATAAACACAGTAGTAGTTAAAAACCTCTGTCCAGTGGATTGTACATTCTAGTAGACTGGCTGGAAAGATTCCTTGCAGCATTGTCATGGCTATTTCTCATCCCTTAACTGTTTTTTTGCACTAGGTGCTTTTCTTACAGGACAAGTTCTAATTTGGAAATGGCTGGCATGCCTGTGTCATTAAGTAATGCCACATTTCTCAATCAAAACCAGTCTCTATTAAGCAACTCTGAATATTTCAAAAGCATTCTCCAAGGAAGAACAAATAAATTCAGATTGCAATATAGTTTTTCAAAATTTTAAAGAAGTAAAAAGTTTTATTAGAATTTATTTATGCCACACTGAGAGTTTGTTTTTATTATTAAAAATATGCCATATATTGGGCCTCCCTGGTGGCACAGTGGTTGAGAGTCCGCCTGCCGATGCAGGGGATACGGGTTCGTGCCCCGGTCCGGGAGGATCCCACATGCCGCGGAGCGGCTGGGCCCGTGAGCCATGGGCGCTGAGCTTGTGCGTCCGGCAACGGGAAAGGCCACGACAGTGAGGGGCCCACATATCGAAAAAAAAAAAAAAAAATATATATATATATATATATATGCCATATATTTTGAGCCCAATCTAGCTTGTGTATATCTAACTATTTCTCTAAGTGCTCAGTTAACAATTAAAAGAAGATACTGACATTACAAATGTCCTTATAGGAAAAAAGAAAAACTTTGCCTAAGATTCTAAAAAGCTTAATTTAGTAGATATTGGTGGTTTTCTAGCACCTCTGATTGTATTTTCATTATAATACAGCTTTCCTATATCTGTTAAAATATAATTTCTGATAGCTTTATCTTCATAATAATAGTCTTTACTATGTGGAAAGTCTTAGAAATTTGGTAGCAGTCACCACTGAGATATAGCTTAATACTCAGTGTCTGGTTCTTTGAATTTTCTGGTTACCTGCATCTTTTATCTTACCTGGATTATCATTTGTCAAACTATGAGCAAATATGATTTAGACCATAAAGAGATTATGAAGATAGTTATGGTCAGCTAACATTTGCCAAGTGTTTACTGTATGTAGGCATTGTGCTCACTTTACAGGCATCCTATGATATGTTTATTGTTACTATATAATCCCTATTTTTATGGACAAAAGAAGCTGAGTCTTAGAGAGGCTGAGTTGCCCAATACCACGTGACTGGTACAGCTGAGATTTGAACCAGGGTCTGAGGCCACAGCCTGCATACAGCCTCAAGAATTTGAACATAAATTGATCTGATAATTTTAAAATGCATTGTAGATTTTACAGTGCTTCAGGATCACGAGTTAATCAGTGTATGCAACCTTACCCTTAAAATAAAAATGATAATTTAAGCTTCATGGTTTGAAGTAGTGCCACTCATTTTGGTTATTTTTATGTCTTAATACATTTGATAAAATACTTTAAGGGACTAATTGATGTTATCCTTTTTTCCTTTTTGACAGCATTGGATTCGAAGGCTAACAATTTGTCCAGTCTGTCCAAGAAATACCGCCAGGATGCGAAGTACTTGAACATGCGTTCCACTTACGCCAAACTTGCAGCAGTAGCTGTGTTTTTCATCATGTTAATAGTGTATGTGAGATTCTGGTGGCTGTGAAGTAGTGAATCCAGTCACTGGCAAGGAAGAACCTAGGACCCAGCAGGTGTATGTTTACAGGAAGCTGAGCTCACAGAGATGCGTATTAGAATCCAAGTGGAACTTCTGCCTCTAAAGACCTTGCAAGGAAAGACATGTCCTGAAAATGAGAGATTACGCCTCATTTAATGAAGCTTAGCCCTATGTAGAAAGTGTCTTTTGGGGGCAGAGGCTTTCTCTGGGTGCTAAGCCATATATGTTAGGGAACAGTAGATTGTTTTATTTGTTTTTTTCCCTCCCAGTGTTTTACATTTTTAAAACAGCACTGACTGGGCATTCTCATCTCTAATGGAGCCGTCAGTGAGATTTGGCTTAACCAACCTGTGCTAGCAACAGTCTGAAATCCCTTCAGAGAAGGCAGCCCTTCAGAAAGTTTTTGGACTCTGTTTAATCAACATTCCGTTTGTTGGTGACACTTGTGATTTTTCAGGAATCTGAGTTGTTGATGGCCTTTTAAACAAGACTCCAGTATGTGAAGGTTAATTGCTGTGCTGCAAGAGATCCTGTCTACTGGCCCCTATAGGAAGTTAACCTTGGTTGTTTTCCATTTATGATGTTTTGCTTATTGCACAATTGCTTTAGGGTTAAATGAATTATATTGATGCCTTGAAATTATAGCACTCCGTGATTAAGAAGCTAAAATGTTTTCTGTCATTTACTCCTTAAAAGACTTAAATGTTTTGTTTGGGACATTCTTAATTTAATTTTTCCGCATCTGGTTTATATTAATATAAGAGTGAATGTAGCATACTGATAGCCAGAGGCCCCTGACTTAGTGACAAAGAGAGGCCGGCTCATGACTACAGCTTTGTCCTGCCCTTTTCTCACTTTTTCTCCACTACGATTTTCCCCACTCTTCCTCCTGCCACAATTTGCTAACATTTTTAAAATTCCTCTGTGTCCAATAGTTTCATGTCCCTCTCAGGATATCCTCAAATTTCAAAATTGAAAATATTCAGTTGCGTAGTTAATTAAATTGAAATTTTTCAGAGCAACTACTTAAACTACTAAACACATTTGTCTGAGAAAATCTGAGAGCACCTTGTATCTGTTTCAGTTATGTAATTCTCTGAGAATGTTCCAGAAATAGGTAACTCATTTACAGTAGCTTCTATTAACAAAAGTACCTATGATTTTTCCCTTTTTTGCTCAGGGATAATGGGAATTTCCTTTTACCTTCTGAGGTAGAATTTTTTTTAATGGGGAGAATAGGCCTTTTAAATATTGTCACAAGGGTCTACAATATAACCTATAATTACTACACATACTGCAAACATTTCTTTAAATTGTACAGGAAAATGAGCCTTCTTCTTAAAATCTTTGGAAAGAACTTTAACCAGTAAGCAATTTTATAACTCAGGATCATCAAACCTACTGTTCTGATTCCTGATAGAGAAAAAAATTCTATTTCTTTAAAACAAGGCAAGGAGAAATGCTTATTTTATTCCTGATAATTTACAGAACTAGAATAACATTTTTTTCCTTCCATTTTGGACCTATGTCTGCCAATTGGAGTTTTGTGCATGAAATAAGAAGTTACTTTTTATAGCGAATAAGTGCTTTGAAGTCCCTAAAAGGCTTATCCTAAGTAATGATTTTGGTAATAAAAGCCTTTGAAAGGCTGAAAACCTAAGTAGTGGTACCATAGCATTTGGTACTTCTGTAGGAGTGGAGAGTGGCAGCTCGTTGAGAGTTGCATGCTGCAACCAAGTAGTCAGCAATGAAATAAATACTTCTAGAATGTTCCCTTTAGTGTGAAGTTTTGTTATCTAGTTAATTTACGTGCACATCTTCTTCTACAGATACACTTCTACCTAAACTCAGTGGGTTAATTAAAAAATGAGTTGGGGTGGGGGATGATAAACAAAGGGATAAGAAAGTAGTTTAAGATTATGATGGTAGAAAATGAAAGAACAGGACTGTCATAATATGACTCCTGCTTCTGTTCTTTATTGGAGGAAGTGGGAAGATCTGACTAGCTGAAATGAACCAGCAACCAAACAGGTATCTAAAATAGAATGTGATAAATACTGTTCCGGGTTATCGGGGGCACATAAAAAAGGACACCTAATTTACTGTGGGAAGGGGTGTGGTAAGAGAAGGAGAGTGGGATTTCCCAGACAGAGTCAATGGCTTGTGAAGAGTCATGAGTTAAAAGAGTGAGGCCCATTTGGGGGATCATATAGCTTGGTTCAATTTAACTCATAGGGTAAGTGTAGGCAACTGAGACTTGAGGAAGAAGTAGACGGTACACTGTCATGCAAGTCATTCAGATTATACTAACATCAGTGGCAAGAGATGGCATCAGATTTATAACTTCAAATGATCATTCTGGCCATGCTATAAAAGATATGTTAGAGAGGAATAAGCCTGAAAGTAGGAAGATGAAACTAAGGAGCCATCAGAGTAGAATGAGACATAGAGAGGTTTCAAGTTATTTTCAAGAAAGGAATAATCCCACATACTGAAATATTTACACAATGCTTTCTTTGTTAGGAGCTTATTTTAATTCTCATGTTGACATTTTGAAGTAAATACTGTTCACACCATGTGAATGAAGAAACTTTACTGCACTGAGGCACAGAAGAGTTGAGTAATTTATCCAAAGATACAGAGCTAGCAAGTGACAGAGCTAAGATTTGAACCTAGACAGTTTGACTCCAGAGTCTGTGCTTATCTCCACCATACTATACCACCAAGAGGTCAAGTCAAACAAGTACCACAAAATGTATTTTGAATTTAACAATTAGGAGCGTAATCATACAAGCAGAGTAATTCCAGCGCAGTAGAGACACAAGTCAGATTGCAGTGGGTTGAGGATTGTGTGAACCACTAGGAGGTAAAGACATTGAACTACTCTTTAGAAGTAGCTTTTTTGGTTATGGCGCTGAACTTCATAACATGTTTTAATTAAGAAATCTCACAAGTGTTAACATAGCAATATTTGGGACATTGTATGTACATCTCTTCATTTAAATGTCTAACTGGTTCTTAAGCTTTTTGGAAAACCTTTGAAAATCTGGTGAACCCCAGAACAATGTTCATGTGTACATGTATACCAAGTATCCCATACTATGTCAGGGTTTTCAAGAACTCTATAAAGCCTGTTCATGACCTGGTGGTCCATGATCCCCCAGCTAAGAACTCCAAATATAGAGGATGTGGAACTCAAAGGAAAGAATCCAGAAACCTTGAAAACTGTACAGCTGAGGTGAACTAGAAAAATTCTACAGTTTGAGCTAACTTTGTGGATGAGATTCATTCTTAAAAAATTGCGCAAAAAAATTCTATCAAGGGCTTCCCTGGTGGCGCAGTGGTTGAGAGTCCGCCTGCCGATGCAGGGGACACGGGTTCATGCCCCGGTCCGGGAAGATCCCACATGCCGCGGAGCGGCTGGGCCCGTGAGCCATGGCCGCTGAGCCTGTGCGTCTGGAGCCTGTGCGTCCGGAGCCTGTGCTCCGCAACGGAAGAGGCCACAACAGTGAGAGGCCCACGTACCGCAGAAATTAAAAAAAAAAAAAAAAAAAAAAAAAAATTTTATCAAATATTTTTGGATCTTGTTCTACAGAAAAAAAATATTTGGTCCAGTTCCTCAAAATCAAAATCAAGGATCTTAAATTTTTTATTTCTACTTTTATCAGTAGGAAGTCTTGCAAAAGCAAGTTAAGAAGGCAAATGGATAATCATTTCTTCATACATAGTATTTAATAATACATGTATGAGAAAACATGTCAATTTAAATTCCCATCTTATTGGGAGTTTTCATGACCTAAGGGCTTGAATGTTGGTGGACACACAATTAAGGCTTTTAGTTAGTGTATTTAGCAGAACTGACTGAGCCCCACCTGGTTGTCTTTTTAGCTCAGCAAAAAGGCAAAGAGCAGTGGTTGTAAAGATGTTACTACTGTAAATGCACATTAACTAATTGGACCAAATAAATAGCTTGTACTTTTTAAAAGTCCTAAAGAAAAATTTGTAGCATGTGTGACATAGTTTGAGGTAGAAGGGGCAAATTGAGTCTCACATCCTATTAATCATTACAGACAGGGTTGACCCAACAGTATAAAACTATCTTGAGCAATTTAATTACTCCATTCTAATAAAGTTTATTTCAAGTGCTGTAATTGAATCCATGTCTTAGATTAGAAAAATTTTTGGAAATTTGACTTCCGTATACTAATCAAAACTGGACTAACCTTCTATAGCATAACCTTCTGAGCATATGTGTTAGTCATTTTACATGTATTATTACAGTCCTCATAACCGTTTTCCCAGCTTGCCCAAGGTCACATAGCAAGTTGAAGTACTTGGGTTCAAATCCAGGACTGCTAGACACCCAACCACTACATATACTGTTTATTCCTAAATTATGATGTAGAAGTGTTTGTCCTAAGCACTATTTCACTTTGTCCTGTCAAGTTATTTGTTTTTGTCTTTTTTTTGGAAAAGGTTGGCTTTTTAAAAATATAATTTCATTTTATTATTTCCATCTCTTTTTCATTTACTTATCTGTCATTTCTCCCTTTATTTTTTAATATTTTTTGCTCTCAGGTTCTTGTTTGCCTTTTCTCCTTGGTTTGTAACACATTTTTTAAAAACTTTATTTTCTATTGGAGTACATTTGATTAACAATGTTGTGTTAGTTTCAGGTGTACAACAAAGTGATTTGGTTATACATATACATGTATCTATTCTTTTTCAAATTCTTTTACCAATTAGGTAGTTACAGAATATTGAGCAGAGTTCCATGTGCTATACAGTAGGTCCCCATTGGTCATCCATTTTAAACATAACAGTGTGTGCATGGCAATCCCAAACTCCCTAACTATCCCTCCCCCCACACACACCCTTCTCCCCTAGTAACCATGTTCTCTAAGTCTGTGAATCTGTTTCTGTTTTGTAAATAAGTTCCTTTTATCATTTTTTAAATATTCTGCATATAAGTGATATCATACGATATTTCTCTTTCTCTGACTTACTTCACTCAGTATGACAATCTCTAGGTCCATCCATGTTGCTGCAAATGGCATTATTTCATTCTTTTTAATAGCTGAGTAATATTCCATTGTATATATGTACCACATCTTCTTTATCCATTCTTCTGTTGATGGACATTTAGGTTGCTTCCATGTCTTGGCTATTGTGAACAGTGCTGCAATGAACATTGGGGCGCATGTATCCTTTCAGACCATGTTTTTCTCTGGGTATATGCCCAAGAGTGGGAATGCAGGATCATATGGTAGCTCTATTTTTAGTTTCTTAAGGAACCTCCATACTGTTCTCCATAGTGGCTGCACCAATTTACATTCCCGCCAACAGTGTAGGAGGGTTCTCTTCTCTCCACACCCCCTCCAGCATTTATTTTTTGTGGATTTTTTGATAATAGCCATTCTGACTAGTGTGAGGTGATATCTCATTGTAGTTTTGATTTGCATTTCTCTAATAATTAGTGATGTTGAACATCTTTTCATGTGCCTCTTGGCCATCTGTATGTCTTCTTCGGAGAAATGTCTATTTAGGTCTTCTGCCCATTTTTTTTTTTTAATTAATTATTTTTGGCTGCATTGGGTCTTTGTTGTTGCGTGCAGGCTTTCTCTAGTTGTAGAGAACAGGGGCTACTCTTCATGGCAGTGTGTAGGCTTCTCATTGCGGTGGCTTCTCTTGTTGCAGA